AGCAACGAGGGGTTTCTTTTAGTCAACCCTCCGCCCTGGCCTCTGCGTGTTCGGCCAGCCCTGCATCCCAAGGCGCCAGGTCTCATGTGGTGCAATAATTGGACACTATTTCAAACTGTTCCAGAGCTGCCGACATCTCAGGGGACAGTGTGGACAAGGAGCCTTTTCCTCCTCCTCCCACTGCTGTGGGGAGGAGGCGCTGACTGCTGACAGGGAGTGTGAAGAGAAACCCTGGTCAGCCTTTGGGCCGTTCGATGATGGATGGGCTCAGGGAGAAAGTTCTCCTTCTGGTGAAAGGATATCTCTCTCGCTGCAGCTTTCACTCACTGACCCCAGTTCTGTTCCTTGGAACCCTACAGAATCATTCAAAGAAGTCTCCTGCCTTTTCTGTTGGCTAAATGCGAAGCATTGATGGGGGATTCAGAAATGAGAAACACGGTTAAGAAGTGTACCCTTTACTTGAGGAATCAAGAATGATTTTATTCAGTCTTCAAACAGTTTTAAAAATAATAATCTTCAGCCCTAGCCTGTTTGGCTCGGTGGATAGAGCATTAGCCCTCGGACGGAAGGGTCCCAGGTTTGATTCCAGTCAAGGGCACGTACCTCAGTTGCAGGCTTGATGCCTGGCCCCGGTCAGGGGGCATGTGCAGGAGGCAACCCATCAATGTGTCTCTCACATCGATGTTTCTCTCTGTGTGGCTCACCCCCTCCCTTTCACTCTCTCTAAAAATCAATGGAGAAAGTATCCTTGGGAGAGGATTAACAACAACAAAAATAATTATCTTCATGCCTTTATCATTATAACATTAATAGGTGCTTATTATAGAAAATGTTGGGAAGAGCCAAAAGATGGAAGGGGAATTACCCATAATCCTACTTTACTATGGCTAACATTTCATTCTATATGGTTTTGTGTTTTTTCCCCCAACAGTTTATGGAGTGAATACAAAGCAGGGGCTGCTCTCGTTGCTCCAGGAAAGACGTGCTGATGCATCAGACTTGGATCTTGCCCTGAAGATGCCTCAGGGGAAACGAGACACACGCATGGCCGTCAGAGGCAGAAATGCTGGGTGTCAGAGGCACGCACTGGTTGCCAGGTCATGAATCTCTGTAAGCCTCACTTTCCACGCATGTTAACTGGATCGGATAAATGGCACCTTCCTCACAAGTTGTTGAGGGCATTCAAAGCTTGTAAAGCACCTATCACAGCATCCAATGAATCAGCCACCATAAATGTAATACAGAGGTAACAGCAATTACAGAGGCTGGGTGGGTGCAGAGCCAAGACCACAAGCACTTAGAGAGACTAAGCCACTTGTTTCCAGAGCAGGCTCTACACCAAGCATGTCAAACTCACGGCCCATGGGCTGCGTGCCTCGTTTATTTGGCCCATGTTAGCCTTTGAGTTTGACATGCTTGCTCTACACCATCTATAACCGCTTCAAGCACGGTGTCCGGTTTGGTGAACTGAATTACTGCCCAGCGTAACCATCATTGACTCTCGTCTGAAAGCTCTGCTCCCTGCTCGCTTTGAGAAGTCTTGGGTCGCCTGTCTGTTTAGCTCTCTTGTGTCTTTGCCCTGCTGTTCAGCGGGAAGGTGTCTCAGGTCTCAAGAAGCAGATGGGGATAAAGCTTCCATCTTCTCATTGTAATGAACTGCTTGGCTCCAGGCTCACCTCTCACCCCAGGGCGGTTTCCTCCATTACAGCAAGACAGACAGTGCCCCCGGGAACTCGGCCCAACCTGGCCTCTCAGTGCCCCTCCACATGGACCTAAATGGCACTTCCAGAGCTCCACTCGCAGAGCCAACAAACAGCCACCAGAGAAGAAAGCCAGGCCCAAGGCCCTGGGAGCAGCCAGGGGTAATCCCTGTTAAGGCACAAAAATAAGGGACCGGAATGAGCAGCGCCCTACAACTAATCCCGTGCCCGTGGGCTCCTCGGGGCCTCCCAGGGAGGTGACTCAGGCTGCAGGGCCTTTACCAGCCTTGGTGACTCTGTGCTGTCCCTAAGGCCCACGAGCAGGTCTCAACATGACCCAGGACGGGACCCCAGTGACGGGAAACCAGGCCCTTTCGATCTGAACATTTGGCAAAAGGAGTGTTTGTGCTTCTCCCGCCCCACTCCCTTTCCTGTGTGCAGCACCTAGATAAATTTAATGTAAAATCACTTTCTGTCATTTAAGCAAATCATATTCCCACAGTTCAGAAATTCGCACGTTATAAATAAAATATAAACCCGGACAGATCTGATTGAGGCCTCTGCTCTCAGAGGACAGCACCGGGAAGCCACTCTTTCCTGAGAGGTAAGGAGGGATCCCCGCGAGGCCTGGGGGTCACCGCAGGACCTTCTCCTGACAGGGGGTGTCCCTCCACAAGCCAGAAACCTCATAGGACCCTTTGGGAGAACTCCTTTAAATCTATTTATCCACTTCTAGCACTGAATACGCATATCTAAAGGACAACACATCTCAGAAACCATTTCACACACAGAATAACCAAGGTCCAGAGTTGGTAAGTATTTTGTCCAGGGTCACTCAGCAGTATCTCAATTAGAGGACAAGAAACTCCAGTTTAGAAAAATGCTTGCCCAAAGCTTCCCTGGTTCCAAACAGAAAATGTTGCAAATGAGTACACCTATCTATAAAAGATGTCTTTTAAAAAACGTCTGTAAAGGGAAAATCCATGTCACACCTGAGCATCCCGCCTTAGCCTGCTAGAGAATTCTTATACGGAAAACCTGGGTCCCAAACCCATCACACATGTTCTTCCTGGCGGTGAGGCCTGAAGGCTGAAGGCCGGCCTGCCTGCTTCACCTCCTGCTTTAGCTGCCGTCCAGGTCCTGTGGCAGCGTGCATCCATGTGGACTCAAGTGGATGTCCCCAAGCCCACTGCCTTGCCCATGAAGTGCAGCATGGAGAAATCACAAACCCTGCCACAGCCTAAGAAGCCAATGAGGGATGCAGTCAGTATCTCCCTTTAGTTTTACCAAATCCATGACCATTTTTTCCCATCAAAATCTGTGACACATGGGCTGACAGCAGGACAGAATATTAAAAATCAGGACCTCTCCGAGAAATCCAGGCCTTATGGTTGCCATGCCGACACCCCACGATGCCAAACAAGTGCCTCTTAGGTCCAGAAGCAACTTGGCTGGCTGCGGAATAACCCAGACATTGTGAACGCAGAGCTGCCTCCTGGCCCGGCTGCTTTGCAGACCCTCCCTTTCCCAGCTCAGCTCTCTGATTCCCCAGGGGAGTGAAGATGACGATGCCTGTCTGAATTTTCTCATCCCCTGTCAGCAGGGCTGGCCACATCATTCTCTAAGAATCTAAAAATCCCCACGCAGCGTCCTGGCCCAACTAAAGAGAGCCAGCCGGGTTTAGGAATGGCAAGACTAGTGAGAGGTGAACCACAGAGTTCAGGGAGAAAGCCAATCCTCAGCTGCACCTGCCCCTTTGAAGTTAAACAAACAGTTCGACTCCAGGAAAGGCTGAATATGCATTCCCCTTTCTCCTTGGTTAAGTCGGGCTGGAGCTGGGAACGAATGAAATATGAGACGGGTGTGAAGCTAGGACCACTGACTGCTCCCAGAGATGGGCAGAAAGCTTACTTCACTCATCAAACCAGCATTTAAGTCTTGCTGTGTGCATCCGTGTGGGGATGCAAGAAGCTTCCCGCACAGTCCCTGCACAGTCCCTGTGTGATCGCTTACATTCAATGAGGAGACGCGGCAGACGACTGGAATAGCACTAAAGTGAAATACCTCAGAAGACAGGGATACAAGGCAAGGCTGTGACAAACACAGTGTGTGCCTGGGGACCAATGACTATGGAACAGACACCCAGGGCTAAAGCTTAAGAACAGGAGGGAGCTGGCTATGCCCCTATGTGGCCCAAGAAGGCTCTGCCATTCACTCCCCAGGAACTTCCACTCTCCCTCTCTTCCTGCACCTCCACTCTCTAGCTCCTCACACTTTAAACTTGGCTTCCAATTCACAGCCCTTTTCTAATCTGCAGCAAGTAAAACCCCAGGGGAAGCAGGACAGGGGGAGAGAGAGGATGTTCACTAGAACTGCCCCAGCCCAAGACCTTAAATTGCCCGCCCTCAAAATGAGTGTTGCATGCCTCGAGCAGTACCTTCCCCTACCCCCCGCCCCCCTCCTCACTATCCCGGGGCCTCATTCTGAGCAGCCTTCTGGGCTGATCTCCAAGGGCCCTGGGAGGAGCCGGGGAGAGGTTCAAGAGCAAGGTCAGGATTCTGAGGCCGAGGTAAATGTGATGAGACCCAGCCTGGGGTTCTGAGCAGCAGCTTCCCTGTGCTCCCTTCCCTTCCGTGTCCCCTCCTCTCTTCCCTCCGCCTCCTCTTCCAGCCCAGACCCTCCTCCCATGCCTCACACAGAGGCCAGAACATCTGGCCAGCCTGCCTGTCTCCTGCCGCTCTGGGCCCACCTACCCTGAGACTCGGGATAGAGAGGGGGGCAGCCCTTGGCGTGGGGCTCCCTCAGGACCTGGGGCCGCTGCTGGTTTGGCTAGTTCCACTCCAGTCTGTCCGTCCACCCAGATCCCCACACTCTGGGGTCTTGGCACAGGAGGCTTTTCCTCATCAGCCTTCCTGTCCTAACATCCACACGTGCTTTGGAACCATGTCCTAGAGGCAGGGACCCTCGGCCCAGAAAGGGACATTCCACCTAATCGGGCTCACTCCCAGAGTTCAACCAGGTCTGGCAATTGGGGGGGCAGGGGCTGGGGATAACCCCAAAGTCTCCTCTGGCAAAGCCAGGAAATATGGTTCCTTTGCAGGCCATCTTTACTTCTTCCCAGCGGGTACCGAGGCAGAATCTGGAACAGGATGGGAATATGAGAGCACTTCCACACCGACCCCCCCGCCGCCCCCCCCCCCACCCCATATTCTCGGGGCTCAGCTGCCTCTGCACAAACATCTCGAATTCTCCACACAAGCCTTGGCCCTCCTGACCCTGCACCTCCCTCCCCAGGCTCACCTCTCTGCACGTCGGAATGGCTGCCCTGCTCCACTCCCCACCCTCGGCCCCACACTTTGCTCTTCCTCCTCCAGGTCCTCGTCTGGCCAGGCCGCATCCGCCCAGCAGCGGGTCCCCAGGGTCGCCCAAGGCTCTCGCCCACCACCCGCCCCCGTTGGAAGGTTGGAAGAACGGCGGGGACTCCGCACGCCCCAGCCCAGGTCCCCAGGGAGCCCAGGGCCCTCCCAACTCCGCCGAGGCCCTAGTCTCTGCCGCCTTTGTTTCCCCGCTCGCCTTGACCTCTCGAGGCTGACCTCGTGAAAGGGAATCTCCGAGCCCGGGCGCAGACACTGCCCGCTCACCTGTCGTGATGGGGTGAGGGGCGCGTACAGGATGAGACCTTGCCCCGACCCAGAGAACCAGGGGTGTTAGTGGAGAGTACTCCGCGCCGAAGAAGCAGGTTCAAGCTGAGCCGAGCTAAAAAGCGGACGCAAAGCCGGACGCAGCCCAGGGCGACCCGGCCTCACCTAACGCCCCCACCCCCACGTCCTCGGCCCCCAGGAGGTTGGAGAGGGTGTGCGGTGCGCATGGCCACCTACGCGCTTAGCCGAGCGCGGTTCCCACCGCCGGCTCGTTGAGCGCAAGGTCCAGCCACCTTCCCGGGCGGGCGAGGCACCGGCCACCCCCGGCCCCAGCCCGGCAGCTCAGTGTCGAGAGAGCCGCCACGTTCCCAGTCGCGCGCGCACGCCGGGCCCACCAAACTTGCAGCACTTTCTCCCAACCCCCACCCGCTGTCACCCTCCCTCCATCCTTGCGCCCTGGCCTCGCTGGCCCGGTGGAGGTTGCCATAACAACATGCAGGAATGCTCCAACATATACAAAGCCAGCAGGGCACGGCGGGCACA